GAGTAAGGTTGTAGATACTTACGCTACCCTGAATCCTTCCGAGAGGATAGGAACATTGATTGGAAGTTCATCCTGAAGCTCTTTTGCTACGCGAGGTAGCTCCTGTACCGCATCCTATTCTCCGAAACGAACCAATTGAATACAACGGTTCGAGGACAAGGACGTTGTGTGCATGGACTCACGACTTCTCCGAGTTTGATGATGATGTTTTTTATCTTCTGTTCAGGGGTCTCATAGTCACGTCTGTCATCGTCATGACCTATAGGGTGTTCACGGAGTTCGCGTTGAGTTCAGGCAATGTCGAAGTTCGTACCTCTATGGTGTCGGCGACGACCATGTCCGTGGAAGCTCATGTTGTACAATTGGATTGCTTTCCCCCGTCTTCTGGCTCAGAAATAGGCAATTAGTGTTGTATAAAGATAACTTTCAGGAGTGACCCTCGCTGAAGAGGTGGAACGAAATTCACAACTTCGCCCTTGCGCGTCAAAGCCCACTACGCCGGGCGCCACATCACGTGCAAACCGAAGTGAACCGATCCTTTTGTTACGTAACGCACCGCTCGTGGATCGAGTCGGGTCTCGGCGGTGACATCTGCAACGACTTCCACGTCGTCGCACTTACGCCCGTGAACTTTCCATCTCCTGCTTTCTTCATTTCCACCATATGGCCTCCCCAGCGCAGCAGCTTCCACCAGGTTGGACCGCAGAATGGTAATTACGCAAAATCCATGTACATGAAGCGGCGAAACTGACTTGTTGCAGGGATCCGACGCATCAGCGGTATCTCTTCATTGGTTCGGAATTTACTTCATATATCTCGAAATCTACGCGTCGCTCATGACGACCATAACATTGCAGAGACGACGACCGGACAGTCGCAGTGGGAGCCTCCTGTTCCTGGGCCCACGCTTTCCCCGCAACCACCTTCCGTTTCTCCACCGCCTTCGCATCATCACACGAAGCGCAGACAGTATGCTGCTGGTCAGACTCAGGCGTACTATGGTGCTGCAGACCCCCTTGCGTTGGGACCAGGGCCAGCGTACACTGGCGCGGCGGCACCCCAACCTCAGCCCGCTCAACTGTTCACACCTGGTTTGGCGGGAGATGGACAGTTTCAACAACAGCAAGCACCGTACTACGGGGGACAGGCTGCAGAACCAGAATACATCAACGCACCTCAAGCCCCTGCGTATCCGACTCAGCCTGCCGCGCAGATTGGTGCTCTGACCGACCAGTTTAATAACATGGGTATCAAGGGACCGAGACTGTACACGGCCAATCTCCTCACTTCCCCGCCAGACCCGATGGAATTGCGTCAACCGCCTCCTCCAATTTTTCTGCCCCCTAATTCGTGTCTGTCGCAGTCTCCGTTTGCTAACTCCGACCCGTCCTACCAGCGTAGCACTCTAAATGCTATTCCTACCACGAATGCATTGCTGAACAAGTCTAAAATTCCTCTTGGTCTAATCATTACGCCTTACCGTTCACTGAACCCAGGCGAAGAGGAAGTTCCGGTCGTGACTGATACTATCATTGCGCGTTGCCGAAGATGCAGAACGTACATCAACCCCTACGTCCAATTCATCGACGGTGGTAACCGGTATGTTGATTGCACAATTTGAACAATGCGAAAATATCTTGACAATTGCATAGTTGGCGTTGTTGCATGTGTTCCTTGTCGAACGAAGTCCCCCAGTTGTTCGACTGGGATCAAGTTCGCAACCAACCCGGTGACCGCTGGGCTCGTGCAGAATTGAATCACGCCGTAGTGGAATACGTCGCTCCGACAGAATACATGGTCCGCCCACCCCAACCTGCAGTCTACGTCTTCTTGATCGACGTCAGCCACAATGCCATCCAATCCGGCATGGTGGCCACGGCGACGCGAACGATCCTCGAGAATCTGGATCGCATTCCAGATGATAACGGGAGAACCAAGGTTTCCATCATCGCTTTCGACACTTCTCTGTACTTCTTCACCCTCCCGGTAAGCTTCTGCCTTCGTCCCACTCTTGCCGACCTGAAAAATGACGTCTTGCCATGTGTGATATTTTTAGCCTGGAAGCACGGACTCGTCGATGCTTGTCGTATCCGACATTGATGATGTCTTCCTCCCTAAGCCGACCGATTTGCTCGTGAATCTGCAGGAGGCTCGTCCTGCCTTGGAGAGTCTTCTTGGCCGTCTGAGTGATATGTTCCAGGATAATCACACCATCGGTAGCGCTCTTGGGCCTGCTCTGCAAGCTGGCTTCCAGCTGATGGTATATTTGGTTTCAGTCAAATATACACAATTGCGAACGCTGACCCTGTCGATTGTAGTCCCCCATTGGTGGTAAGATTATTGTTCTCACTTCTAGTCTGCCCTCTGTTGGTGCTGGCGCCCTCAAAAACCGGGAAGACCCCAAGGTCCTCGGTACTTCCAAGGTAAGCTATCTTTCTGATTCGTGTTGGAAGAATGATTTCCTGATTTTTTCTTATAGGAATCCTCGCTCTTGCAACCAGCTTCACCGTTCTACAAGACTTTCGCTATTGAGTGTTCGCGTGCTCAGGTTTCCGTCGACATGTTCTTGTTTAGTTCTGGCTACCAGGATGTTGCCACACTCGGTACGTTCATAACCGTATTACTCGTCAGATATTCCCCTAATCTTTGGCTATGTTAGCCTGCCTTCCCCACTATACTGCTGGTCAGACGTACTTCTACCCCGCATTCAGCGCAACGCGTTCCGAAGACGCTATCAAGTTCGCGCACGAGTTCGGGAAAGTTTTGGCCATGCCTATCATGCTCGAGGCCGTCATGCGTGTTCGTGCATCCAAGAGTGCGTAATCTCACATTCTCTATTTGCTCTTCAAGCCGAGGTCTACAGTTGTATACATGTACTGACTTCCGTTTCTCCTTGCTATTGCATAGACCTGCGCATGTCATCGTTCCACGGAAACTTCTTTGTCAGGTCAACGGACCTTCTCGCGATGCCTGCCGTGCCCCAAGATCTTTCGTACGCGATTGAAGTGCAAATCGAGGATACGATTACTGCGCCTTTCGTTGTCTTCCAAACCGCCGTTCTGCACACGACCTGCTACGGTATGTCTCACCCTCACCCGAAATTATCAACGTGTCCACTAAACTGAATCATACAGGTGAACGCCGAATTCGAGTCATCACCACCGCGCTCCCCACCACGTCCAACCTCTCCGAGGTCTTCGCATCGGCCGACCAGGTCGCCATCGCCACTCTGCTCGCGAACAAGGCAGTTGAACGTTCGTTGACTCACAAACTGGAAGATGCGCGTGACGCCGTATTCAATAAGATGGTCGAGATCCTCACGGCGTATAAGGCGAGTATGACTGCTGCGGGTGCTGGCGCGTCTGCGCAGTTGGCGATTTCGGAGAATATGAAGATGTTGCCTGTCTTGGTGCTTGGGTTGTTAAAGAATGTGAGTTGGCTTGTGAAGCTGCATGCGATCATTTGTGGATGCTGACTGTGCTGTTGTAGGTCGGACTTAGGCAGAGTGCTCAGATCCCGCCTGATCTCAGGGCGTATGCTCAGGCACTCTTGACGTCTTTGCCTTCTCAACTCCTCATTCCGTACATTTACCCCAACTTCTACTCTCTGCACAATATGCCTCCCGAGTGCGGCACCGTCGGCGAGCACGGTATCATCATGCCCCCACCTCTTCCCCCGACTTCAGAAAGACTCGAAAGGCACGGTTTGTACCTCATCGAAGACGGCCAAACAATCTTCTTGTGGGTTGGACGTGATGCCGTCCCTCAGCTTGTCATGGACGTCTTCAACCTCCCAAGTTACGAAGTTCTGCGCGGTGGCAAGGTACGATATTCTTCAATATCTCCACAAACTCATCGCCTGACCGATTCTTGTCCCGATCCCAGACCACGCTTCCTGTACTAGACAACCCCTTCTCGCAACGTGTCAACGCCATCATCCAAAAGACTCGTGAAATGCGTCGGGGCGTATACTGGCCTCACCTATACATCGTGAAAGAAGATGGAGAGCCTCCTCTGAGATTATGGGCCCTCAGCTGTCTCGTCCAAGATCGGGCAGACGTTCTCCCAAGTTATCAGCAATTCATCTCGCAACTCAAAGACAAGGTACGCTTCTATGCGCTCGATTTCAATCGGAGAGTGCTAATCAACGATGTGGTTGTTGTAGGTCAATGGATCCGGTTATTAGAGGGCGCAGCTTCGTTTGTTATGCATATTTTTGGAGTGTTCTCTGTTCCTATACGTACAGTATTTGTTATTTCCCGACGTCCGTCTCTGATTTCGTTACCAATTTGAAGCCAAGGTTTCGGCCGTTTCTTCCTCCGCTAGCCACGTTCGCTGGCGTACTTCCACGACTGCGTATACGTTGGCTGTGTGGAGTTGACAGCCACGTAGTAACTATCGCCAGCTCCCGCCAGTGTTCGTCGTCGATAATTGAGACATTCATTGGGTCCTCCGGTGTCACGCCTGTCCGAGTCGCGCCGCTGTTTCATATGTTATTTCCCTTGGCGATTCGAGTCATTGTCAGCGAGTCTCGCTTGGTTCAAGCCCAAGCCGATGTTGTCTATCTCAATCTTGCACATCCTCATCATACTTTATTGGGCTTGCACAGCCAAAGTTCGCAGGTCAAAGTCCCACCAGTTTGCATTACAAGCGTGACAAACGGGCTCAGGATTCTTCAGGACTGCGGCACTGCCAGTGGTCGGAATGTCGAGATCCGGATGTTCTCCCCTTGTCTCGGTGCAGATACGTGGAGGCAATGGTCTGACCTGGAGAAGGCAAGACGGCGAGAAATGGCCTTTGAGAGGGAAAGAACAACGTGGCCATTTGGTGACCATGCTGAAAGTTCAGGGGGTGCTGTTATCCCGAGGTTTTGCCGGAGGTTCATGGCGTTGCCGTGTGTGCCAAGAAATCCGCCCTCCTTTCCGCGACGTTCAACGTTGAACGTACTTTCGACCCGACGTGGCACGGTAAGACGAGGGCGAGAACGAAGAAAAAAGTTAACTCCCTGGCGGGGAGTCGAACCCCGCTTTCGCGCGCGCCGCTAAACTTGGCACAACCCATGTATATGACAGGCGCGTGTACTAACCGATATACTACCAGGGATGTTATGTTGCCGAGTAAAAGGGAACATATCCCCTCGCACGACCTGATTTCTTTACCTGAGCACTCTATTCCAATGTCTGCTTGTCCTTTGCCAAGTGCGGCCAGTGAGCTTTAACGGTTGAGTCTTTCGAGGCTTGCATGTAAGTAGCGGCCACGACGAATTGCGACCTCCCAGAGGTCCGTCAAAGGAGCATACAGTCCTACCGTCACAGCTCCAAAGGGTCGGTTCTGTGCGTTGAACCTATAGGGTAAGCTCAGTCTAAGAATCCAGTACATTTTGCTCAGCTGAGCAACGGTAGAAGTGCTTATCGTTTTGTATCACACGAGGAGCGTCGGAGGACGTGTCTTTTGGCGAGGGCTTGACTAGATAGAGCGCCCTCGAACTGTACATAAGATACAGTCCTGCAGCCCGGGAATCTTAGCTCCACCTAGTCAACCACCATGTCCCAAACGGAGGTACAGACCGCACTGGGGTACCATCCCCAGGCATCGAAGAGCTCTCTCTCCATCCGGGCACATTCGCCTCAACCTCCGTCCGTCGCTGTGGGGCCTTCAACGAGCAGGGCCGACTCGTTAAACAAGGGTAACATCGAATTGGCCGAGCTTGGTCATCGCCATTCTGCTACAGGTACTGTTGGTGGAACCTCTGGCACGAAGACTGCCCCGGGGGACGGTGGGGCTCCCTCGACTGCCTCCGACACAGATCCTCACCTCTTCAGGGAGTATATCCAATATGCCGTGCTCTGCTTCAGCTTGTTCATGGCTGGATGGAACGATGGTACTACTGGTCCTCTCCTACCGCGTATTCAGGAGGTATATCACGTCAACTTCGCCATTGTCTCGCTTATTTTCGTTTTCAATTGTGTCGTAAGTCCTTATAACAAAACTAGATACGCTGTTATCATACTGAGTCCCGCATTTCTTCCTACACAGGGTTTTGTTACCGGCGCAGGTTTGAATGTCTACCTCACGGATCGCCTGGGTTTCGGCAAGGTAGATGATTTCGCAATTCGTTGACTTCAACCCGAAACCTCAAGCACATTACCAGGTCATGGTCCTCGGCTCATCAGCCCAGCTAATTGGCTACGCGATCGACGCCTCCGCACCTCCATTTCCTGCTCTCTGTCTTGGCTACTGTATCAACGGATTCGGCCTTGCTTTACAAGATGCAGGCGCGAACGGCTATGTCGCATGCTACGAGAAAAATGCGGCAGCCAGAATGGGTATCTTACATGCTGTATACGGCTTGGGGGCTCTAGCTGCTCCACTAGTGTCTACCCAGTTTTCCCAACTGCCTAGATGGTCTTTCCACTTTCTGGTCTCGGTGGGAGTTGCTGCTATAAACACCATTGGGCTTATTGCTGTTTTCCGATTCAAAACTCAAGATGGTGAGAGCACCACCCCCTTGAATTCGTTCTGATTATTCGGTTGTCCTGAACGACGGTGTAGAATGCCTCAGGGAGATTGGGCAAACGCCTGAGGATCACTCCGACTCGAGTCGTCAGGATAACAAATATCGCCAGATATTCAGGCTGAGAGAAGTCCACCTGTTGGCCTTCTTCATCCTGATCTACGTTGGTGTTGAAGTCACTCTCGGCGGTAAGAGTGCTCCTTCGGTCTGGCATTGTCTGCGATGTTCAACGCATCTACAGGGTGGATCGTTACCTATATTATCAACGAACGAGGCGGAGGTCCCTCTTCTGGGTATATCTCTTCCGGTTTCTTCGGAGGTGAGGTGTCAAGGAACATAGTTTGCGCGCGCTGCGTACTGATGGGAGTCTGTAGGCTTGACGTTCGGCCGAGTTGCTTTGCTGTGGGTTAACAAAGCGGTAGGTCACAAATCGTTCAGATGAAATCAGATTACATGAAGATGACCCATCCGTAGGTCGGTGAACAACGTGTCATGTATTTCTACATCGTACTATCCATTGCGTGCGTCACTCGATCTGCTCATATCGCGCAGTCCCATCGTAACATCTCAACAGCCTCGAACTGGTCGTATGGCTCGTCCCTTCACTCGTCGGTGGCGGTATCGCCGTATCCATAGTCGGAGCCCTCCTCGGGCCGATTTACCCCATCGTCATGAACCACTCCGGCCGTATTCTGCCACCGTGGCTTCTCACTGGGAGCATCGGCTGGATTGCTGGATTCGGGCAAGCGGGATCTGCTTTGCTACCGTTTTTGACTGGTGCGATCGCGTCCCGTAAAGGTATTGGTAGCTTGCAGCCTTTGTGAGTCTCGTCTTGTATATGTATGTTCGTTGTCAGTTGGTCTTGACAATCGCGCTCTAGGTTGATCTCGATGATGGGGTTCCTACTCGTTCTCTGGTTCTTGGTTCCGAGCACGTCTAGAAGAGTTGACTAGAGGGTGTCTCAAACTACGCCGGTGGCCAAACTGCGAATAGACATAGTGCTGAGTACTAACGACTGCAAAATTGCTTAGAGAAGGGTCTCGCCAATGTTGACGAGATGTACTTTAACATATTACCGCTTTATGATCCTGTATATGTAACATCACCACTCACGAAAGACATTCTGGGGCTGAAATAGAACTTTTCTGCGACAAACAAAGGCTTATCAGGGCATTGCAAGGCTTGACGCGACCACGTGACCGCGTTTATTTGTAAGGGACATCGCGATCATCGATCATTTCCCTTCATTTCAGGTCTCTCTCTCTCTTCCCAGTACATCCTACTTGACTTCATTTGCTCATATTACTCGCTGAATCTTTCATAACGTTTGCTATGGTTGACACCTAATTCAGCGACCCTCTACGGCTGCTGGGCTGCGTTGAACTCCACGATGGGATAGTTCCGTATGCCCTTGATTCGAATATCGTAGTGTCCGTGCGGTTCCATCCTCAACGAACATTTTTGGATGACATCCGCTGCAAAAAAGGAAGACGGCTCTAATCGCTGACGATCCTGTTCGCGGCCTATTTATTGTTCGGGTTCGTGTTATAAGGAAGCGAACCCTCCAGCCACGGTCTGCATCCTCTCCCCCCTCCTCACTCGTACAACCACTTTCCCCTATAATAATCCTAATACGTTCAGGCTCAACATAATCTGCTGGGATTGGTGAATATTTTGAAAGTGCTCTTATCTGAACATTGCGTAGCTGACGTTTCGCCCTGTTCAGTACTATAATCAAATACACTCGCAATATATTGGGCCGCGATATTGCTAGGAATATCGATTATCTTGGTGAGTAGCACCCTCTCGAGTTCCAACTACCTATTCATTTACGTCGTGCCACTGGTTTCGATCACCGCGTTGACAGAGGACTTGTTTCGCTTAACATGGTATATCACACACGTCGTCGAGCCAAAGCTCTTGCTGAAGAGAAAGCGAAAGCGGAGGCTGAAGCATCCCTGCCAGTCGACGGGGAGACCGGGAGTGCAGCACCAGTCGACAGCGGCGAAAGCCGAGATGCTGAAGCACCGGTCGAGAACCAGGACAATGTCCCGGAAAGTAAGGGCGAGGCTCATGTACCTGTGGAAAACAAGGACCAAGTTGATGCACCGACTGAAAACAAGGATGAGGCCCCGGAGGAAGCACCAGCTGAAAACAAGGGCGACGCTGAAGTACCGGTAGAGGGCAAGGGCGAGGTCGAAGCACCGGTTGAAAGCAAGGAAGAGGCTGCAGCGCCAGCCGCACACAAGCGTCCGAAGCTCCCCTTCGACGTCCTTTGCCTTGTCGCCGAACACCTCGCCGGCGACATAGGAAGCCTACGAGCCTGCACCAGGGCCAGTCCCGAACTGGCTTTAGCGTGTCGATTCGTTTTGTATCGACAGGTACCGATCCCCAGCTATGAACATCTACAAATGTGGATGCGGACCATTCTCAAGACGCCAGGCTTTCAGCACAAGATCCGGGAGCTCTGGTTCCACCCCTTTCGCAGAGCTGACCAAGTCCTCAGTCCTGATCTCGAGCGGCTAGAGGTTTATATTGGTTTGCGGATGTTCACAAAGCATCTTGTCAACCTTAATACGCTACACATTGGAGCGATTAACCAAAGTCGCATGCCTGCCGTGCGAGACTCCCTCCTGGGAACCTTTGCGTATTGCACCTCTCTAACCACGCTCGTCCTGACAGCGGCATACGTGCCTGCTATCACCTTCCGTGCGATTCTGGGCTCTCTTCCCATGCTATCTGAACTTCGCATGGACTGTGTGTTCCTTACAAAGAACCCCAAGGATCTTTCGCAAAAGATTCTCAATGCCGGTATGACTCATCCCTTGCGCCTTCAGGCGCTGTTCCAAGGGTTATGCCACAACTACAACGAAGATGACCCTGGGTTCTTGGATTGGCTTCGGACGACGGATACGGTCGACACCCTCCGAAAGTTATTTTTGTACAAATGCGCCCCGAGAAATATGCTTGAAGTAACGCGATTTATACAAGCGGTAGGTGACAATTTGGAAGAGTTGAATTTCCATTTGGAAGAACCTATGCCGCGCTGGAAACAGCATGATGAGCTCCAGCGTAAGTAACATTGCCTATTGACTCTTGAAGTCGAGACTGTACTTACGCCTGTATACCGTAGATCTCAGAGAATTCTCTCTCGAACACAACCCCAACATTCGGTACATCAATCTCCATGATTCTCGCAATCCAATACTGCGAGATATTGTAGACCAACATCCCCAACCAGACAACCTGCGCAAGGTCGAGCTCACCATGGTCTTTAATAGACTCGACGCAGTGAAAAATCAAGATTTTAAAGCCCTTGACACGTTGCTGTCAAACCAGGCGAGGTTCACGAACTTGGAGGAGTTCCAAGTGAACTACCAAGGGATGATGGAGTTTAAGAAGGCTGAGGCGAAGGTGCAGCGTATATTTAAGGGCCTTAAAACCCGTGGTGTACTGCGAGTGGTTCCGGGAAAACCGTTCCCGAGAGGTTTCGGTGAGTGTGTCTCCCTGGATATATCTTCGGGAGCTTAATTCACATCTTATAGTTGGGAAAACCATGCTGTGAGTGGTGGCACTAAGTGGTAATGGC